GGCAAGAGTTTGGAAAGGTGATATAAAATCTGAGCGATGACAATATCTATCCGTCTAGTTTTTAAAAATTAATGAACACAGGTTGTTGTCACTCTACTGTCAGACGAGACTTCATGGCAATCCTATCTCAATCCAACATCTCTGTAACTGATGTTCACTCACGCGTATAAATTTTTAACATGGCCATTCTAACAACAACATAAATTTACATATCATTACAAGATTTAATGAAGTAGAAGGGAGGAATATAGTTTTATATTAATTTAGGCATTACATTGGCACAGGCACGTCACGTGTTGGCGGGTAACCTATCTGAAATAATTTTATTTTTACTTTTGCTATTTTTTAATTTCCTGTTCGCCAACTTTCAGTGGCTTCTCAAATTTTTTGTCCAAACAAAACACAAAGCGAAATAAAATATATTTCAAAACAATGTATAATAAACAAATCGTATATATTAATTTAATATATATAATATAAATTAAATATGTACATTGTGTGTGTGAGTGATTTCACAAAAATTTTTATCATTACGAACATGCAGATCCTGAAAAATAAAATTATTGTAACATACATGTGCGTGCGTGCGTGCGTTTGTATGTGTGAAAGAGTTTGTATGTGTGAAAGAGTTTGTATGTGTGAAAGAGTTTGTATGTGTGAAAGAGTTTGTAGAAGTGTGTTTGTTTGTTTGTTTCCGCGGATGCACGTGTGGTACTTCGGATGCGTTAAAATCTTGTAATATTTTTAATTTGATATTTGATATCAAGAATGAATGTGAGGCTAGAGCGGCGACTATGTGATGCATGCAGGCATGTGTGTATGTGATGTATGCATGCATGTTTGTATGTGATGAATGCCTGCATTTGTGCATGCATGCATGTGTGTATGCATGTGTGTATGTGATATATGCGTGCATGTGTGTATGCATGCATGTGTGTATGTGATGTGTGTATGCATGTGTGTATATGATGTATGTATGCATGCATTCATGTGTGTAGACATGCATGTGTGTATGTGTGAATGTTTATCTGCTTGTTGCAATTTGCAACAATTGTTTATTTTTTATTTTTCTGTGTTGAATCATTTGGTAAAAATGTTTTGAGACAGTTGAGTACGTTGTCGTAAAAATTAAATTTATTTTACCTCAATGTTTCTATACATCCTATGATATGATAGGGACGTAATTATATATATATATATATATATATATATATACCTAAATGTTAAATATATAAAGATGTTTATCTACGGGATGTGTGGTTTGTGCCTTTCTACCTTTGTATATCTTTATTGGGCTTTGAACTTCTGTTTTATTCATAATAAGAACAACATAACGAACGAAGAACAAACCACAAACAAACACACACACACATATTCCATATTATAGCACACATGTGTGTTATAATATGGATAAAAAAGGTGGAGTGAAATTTTAAGCCGACGAACTG